CACACACACACACCCCTACCTGCCTGCTTAAAGACTGAGTCCCATTAATGGGGATAGTGTATGGATATAGGAAAAAGCCATCTCTCTTGTGGCACCTCAGTTATGCAATGTCCTCCCCTTAGAGGGCCAACTGGCTTCATTAAATATTTAGTAAAATATGGCGTTTTGTTAAAGCCTTCAGGGTCTAATTATTTTATAATTTGTACATATTAATGGTTTTGATTTACTTTGTTTTAACGGATAGTATACCTTGCTTGTTAGATAGTGTAATATGTTTCTCGGATATAAATTATTTTTACCTAAACCTTTAGGTTTAGGATAGAATATAAACATTTGATTTAAATTAAATTAAACTAATATAAAATGTAAACCCAAATACCGTAGATATAGTTGGGGCTTTTGTTATGTCAGAAACACTCTTACCAAAATAAGTTTGACAGAATATTATACTGTAACAGTTATTGAACTGGTGAAAAGCACCCTATCAGAGCAAGCATTTATGAAGTCTGTTGAATTTTCTCACATGGTAATGACATGTTATCAGTCCTGCTTTATTGCTTTGGAGGCTTTTATTGTGCAGATGTCTTTCTGATGAGCTTCATGTTTTATTATATATTTTAATCCCGTATTTATATCTTTTGGCCACCTTTGGGGATATAAGATGAAATAGAAAATGATAAAAGATAAATAAATATACAACTAAGGCCATCTTACTACCCATTCTCCTTCCAAAAGCAGTAATGCCAGTTTACCCTGGGAGCCAAGCCACCTTCCTTATGAACTCTACAGCACTTTTCTCCACAGCACTACAAAACTTTTCATGAAATGGTGGACATCTTTGCATAAAACATAAGTTGACACAAGGCATTGCTTTCTAGCCTGCGTATCTGAGACGGTTCCTTAGATACCAGTGAAAGCCCAAAGACGGGTCTTGGCTTCCCAAACTCCTCTCTTTGTTACACTTTTCCACAAAGTAAGAAAAGACACTTTTTGCAACAGCAGTGATGAGAAATGGAAAGATATTGTTGTCATGCTGGGTAACATGCCAAACCAGCTGCAGACAATGTCATATATTTGGGGTGGAGGTAGGGACTCAGCAACACTTTTGCCTGCTACTTAATAGGCAGTCAGATTAAAACTGATGATTGAATAGATCCAAGGATGTTTTCTGCACATAAATCACAGTCATGTTATACTTGGCTAGAATGGATAAGGTAAGCTTGGGGAGAGCCCTTTTCTTCTGCAAACCTGATTAACAGAACTATTAAAATACCACTGAGACAAACATTTTTAGAGCAGAATGAAAATCTGCCAACAGCTGCCAAATAAACAAATCCACAAAAACATGAGTCAAATAATGATTCTCCCCCCTCCTTCCTCCCCCAAAATGTTTCCTCAGTAAAGTGTTAATTTGTTTCTCCTTGTGGCTGTTTGATGTTGAAAGAATTAAACCTCCAAAGATGATTATGTGCAAATTAACTAGTCAGATATGCCAAAGGTGATCAGATGTGACGGTGGATGCATAATATTGTATGTATATAAGAGAGACAGTCTCTCTCTCTCTCTCTGTAATGAGTAATAACAATAATAATAGAGAAATTGTCCTGTCAAATCAAGCATAGCGTTAATAATAAGCCAATGTATATGACATTAAAAACTGTCATTTCCACAGCTATTAATGTAAATTGAACACTGGTAGCAGACACTGGCAAAGGAATATAAATCACACTTCATTATATTTCAAAATATAAGTGTCAAATAACTCCCTTACCCCCACCACCACCTTCGTCTCTCATTAGGAACCTGCCCCCTGTCAAATAACTTCACTTGGATTCTGTCATTTTGCTGTAGACAACTCCCAATGAACTGATGATAAGTGACAATTTCATGCTATTAAAACACTGCTAATCTGCTTATGGTACCAAGGAAAAGTAACCACCCAACGAAAACAATATCCCCATGTATCTGAAGCACAAGCCAGAAGACGGGGAGGGGGGGACAATGGAAGGCATCAGTTTCATGAAACTGTATCTTTTCATGTGGGAAAAAATGAGGTTCAGTCAAATTAAGAAGCCCACCTGCAAGATGTCACCGCATAATTCCAGACTTGTTAATATGAAGCAATAAGCAAGAGAGAATTTGGGCACAATAAAACAACATGATGAAAGACAATAAAAGTCGGGACTGAGCAATAACCTTACAGCATTCTGTTGTAAAGCTTCTGATATGTTCTTTTATCTCATGCCCCTAAGCAGGTTACTGAAATGGGGGGGGGGGGCATATTAAGTGGGGAAAAAATCCATCATAGCCCTCTCCCTATGTAGTTTCACTATGAGTGATCTTTCTCCTAAAAAGGAACAAGCCTAATCTTTTTGTCATTGTTTCCTATGAACACATTTAGATATGTGATCATGTGGTCTCCCTACTCCTCCACTCAGAGTTTAATGGGCAAGTAGGTAGGTGGCTCATATGTAACAAAAACCTAACACAATTAGGAGATTATTGCATGCCTAAAAAAAGGACTTACCCCTGCAGGGATACAGTCGTTTATGGGATGCAGGTGGGTATTATAGCAGTAAAAAAATGCTGCTGATGCCACTGGGTGACTGCATCCCTGCTCCCAGCAGTGTTCAGCTGGCCAATTTTCACAAATGGGAAGCTTCCATCTATCCCGGCAGGAGCAAATCGCTTTTTTTAGACATGTGATAATCTCCCTAATTTCAGGGGCAACTTTTATAATAAAGAATGATCAACAGCTGCATTATTAGTATGCCACTGGAAGCTACAGTCCAAAGAAGTTACTTTTCCAAGCTTTACAAGAGGATGGTCAGCAACACAGGTTGGAAGTGTTCCACATTCTGTGTGCCAATCAAGACTGCTGTGGCTTCACAGGCAGTTTTCCCAACAGCCCCATAACATGCGAAGGGACACTTATGAACTCTTCAACATACATGGCATGCTGATGTGTCCCTGATGTATCCACTGGACATACATATACACCTGCTCTTCTGTGGGTTTCCTGCAGGCAAATACTGGCATAACTCTGGCAAATTTGATTATTATTTAACGTGTGAGACTGTTTTTAAATTCCTTTGCTTCCTATACAGACAAAGCCATGGACCCACAGTATAAACTAGGGGTAGGCAACCTTTCCCCTTTAAGGGCCAAGGGACTTCAGCTCCCAGAAGCCTCAGCCATGTTGGCCAATAGTCCCATGTTGGCCAATAGCTCCTGGGATTCTGGAAGCTGAAGTCCCTCGGCCCTTAAAGGGGAAAGGTTGCCTACCCCTGGTATAAACACAAGTTGTATCCAATATAATTACTTTGAGATCTATTGTATTTATAGGCTGTCATAGAAAAAAGTCTGTTCAACCCAGTTTATTGGATGGGTAACACCTTTTACTGAGGTGGGGGGGAAACCTAGATACCCAAACAAAACAAAGTAAAAATATGTCCCTTCTGAACAAAGAGAGGCATCTACATTAATCAATGCAGACAGTCTCTTAAACCAATATGAAGGAATATAAGTTTCAGAAGTAGCAGCTACTCACCTGATGTTTTAAACCAAGCTGTCTATCAGGAATCAAATAGTAAATAAACATTTGGAAAGTCCTCCTCTGAGAGTGGAGG